CTCTCTCTCTCCCTCTCTCTCCCTCTCTCTCCCTCTCTCTCCTCTCTCTCCTCTCTCTCTCTCTCTCCCTCTCTCTCCCTCTCTCTCCCTCCCTCTCCCTCCCTCTCCCTCTCCTCTCCCTCTCTCTCTCTCTCTCTCTCTCTCTCCCCCTGCCTGGCTCAGCCCACCTGAGCGTCAGGACCCTTGGCGCTAAGAGCTGGGGGTTCGTAATTACCAGAGAGGAAGCCAGCCAGGGCCACGTTCATAGCTGCCTTGATTGCAAAATTTTCCTGAGCGTTACCAAATTGTAACTCAACGGACCTCAGTTGTTAGACTACACTTTTTCAGCACAGGAATACCAATTTATCGCATGGAAATGAAATATTTTCGTACTTGCAAAACTTAATTAGTTCTAAATTGGCAGGTGACTACTCATTTGAAATGCATAATTTGCTAATGTGAGATATTATATATATATATATATATAAATATGAGAGGAAATTAACACCTTGAGTGGCTGTCTAATCCACCTGGGGGCACCTTGATTGGCTGCCTAATCCACCTGGGGGCACCTTGATTGGCTGCCTAATCCACCTGGGGGCACCTTGATTGGCTGCCTAATCCACCTGGGGTCATCTTGATTGGCTGCCTAATCCACCTGGGGGCCACCTTGATTGGCTGCCTAATCCACCTGGGGCCACCTTGATTGGCTGCCTAATCCACCTGGGATCATCTTGATTGGCTGCCTAATCCACCTGGGGGCACCTTGATTGGCTGCCTAATCCACCTGGGGCCACCTTGATTGGCTGCCTAATCCACCTGGGGTCATCTTGATTGGCTGCCTAATCCACCTGGGATCATCTTGATTGGCTGCCTAATCCACCTGGGGGCACCTTGATTGGCTGCCTAATCCACCTGGGGGCACCTTGATTGGCTGCCTAATCCACCTGGGGTCATCTTGATTGGCTGCCTAATCCACCTGGGGGCCACCTTGATTGGCTGCCTAATCCACCTGGGGCCACCTTGATTGGCTGCCAAATCCACCTGGGGTCATCTTGATTGGCTGCCTAATCCACCTGGGATCATCTTGATTGGCTGCCTAATCCACCTGGGGGCACCTTGATTGGCTGCCTAATCCACCTGGGGGCCACCTTGATTGGCTGCCTAATCCACCTGGGGGCCACCTTGATTGGCTGCCTAATCCACCTGGGGGCACCTTGATTGGCTGCCTAATCCACCTGGGGCCACCTTGATTGGCTGCCTAATCCACCTGGGGGGCACCTTGATTGGCTGCCTAATCCACCTGGGGGCACCTTGATTGGCTGCCTAATCCACCTGGGGGCACCTTGATTGGCTGCCTAATCCACCTGGGATCATCTTGATTGGCTGCCTAATCCACCTGGGGTCATCTTGATTGGCTGCTTAATCCACCTGGGGGCACCTTGATTGGCTGCCTAATCCACCTGGGGGCACCTTGATTGGCTGCCTAATCCACCTGGGGCACCTTGATTGGCTGCCTAATCCACTTGGGGGCACCTTGATTGGCTGCCTAATCCACTTGGGGGCACCTTGATTGGCTGCCTAATCCACCTGGGGGCCACCTTGATTGGCTGCCTAATCCACCTGGGGGCCACCTTGATTGGCTGCCTAATCCACCTGGGGGCCACCTTGATTGGCTGCCTCTTCCTGGTGGTCTGAAAGCATGAGAGACTTCACAAGACATAGCCAAGATCAGCGCACGGGCTCACCATAGCCCGTGCTACTTTGAACTCTTTGTTCCAAGTAGAGAATCTTAAACAAACAGCAAACTCAAACCCACAAGACGTTGTTTGCATTGTTTAAATGACTTGGGAATCAGCTCACACAGTAATGCAAAGTTTCTATAGGGGAAATATTATGGAGAGTTCAAAGCTCATAAGAGTTATAAGAGTCAAGGCTCATAAGAGTTATAAGAGTTCAGTAATATTATCGAAGTATTTTCGCACCTTCTACAGTCCGCCAACCACAATAGCTTATTTGAAGTATATGTTCTTTGGCCCCTCAAAAAAAATTAACAAAAATTTCCATGATATAATAGTTTTTTTTTTTATCTGAGAGCTAGTGAGAGTTAGCTGTGTTAGCTGAGAGCTAGTGTGTGTGTTAGCTGTGTTAGCTGAGAGCAAGTGTGTGTTAGCTGAGAGCTAGTGAGTGTTAGCTGTGTTAGCTGAGAGCAAGTGTGTGTTAGCTGTGTTAGCTGAGAGCTAGTGTGTGTGTTAGCAGAGAGCTAGTGTGTGTGTTAGCTGTGTTAGCTGAGAGCAAGTGTGTGTTAGCTGTGCTAGCTGAGAGCTAGTGTGTGTGTTAGCAGAGAGCTAGTGTGTGTGTTAGCTGTGTTAGCTGAGAGCAAGTGTGTGTTAGCTGTGTTAGCTGAGAGCTAGTGTGTGTTAGCAGAGAGCTAGTGTGTGTGTTAGCTGTGTTAGCTGAGAGCAAGTGTGTGTTAGCTGTGTTAGCTGAGAGCAAGTGTGTGTTAGCAGAGAGCTAGTGTGTGTGTTAGCTGTGTTAGCTGAGAGCAAGTGTGTTTTAGCTGTGTTAGCTGAGAGCTAGTGTGTGTGTTAGCTGTGTTAGCTGAGAGCTAGTGAGTGTTAGCTGTGTTAGCTGAGAGCTAGTGTGTGTGTTAGCAGAGAGCTAGTGTGTGTGTTAGCTGTGTTAGCTGAGAGCTAGTGAGTGTTAGCTGTGTTAGCTGAGAGCTAGTGAGTGTTAGCTGTGTTAGCTGAGAGCTAGTGAGTGTTAGCTGTGTTAGCTGAGAGCTAGTGAGTGTTAGCTGAGTTAGCTGAGAGCTAGTGAGTGTTAGCTGAGTTAGCTGAGAGCTAGTGAGTGTTAGCTGTGTTAGCTGAGAGCTAGTGAGTGTTAGCTGAGTTAGCTGAGAGCTAGTGAGTGTTAGCTGAGTTAGCTGAGAGCTAGTGAGTGTTAGCTGAGTTAGCTGAGAGCTAGTGAGTGTTAGCTGAGAGCTAGTGAATGTTAGCTGAGTTAGCTGAGAGCTAGTGAATGTTAGCTGAGTTAGCTGAGAGCTAGTGAGTGTTAGCTGTGTTAGCTGAGAGCTAGTGAATGTTAGCTGAGTTAGCTGAGAGCTAGTGAGTGTGTTAGCTGTGTTTGCTGAGAGCTAGTGTGTGTTAACTGTGTTTGCTGAGAGCTAGTGTGTGTTAGCTGAGAGCTAGTGTGTGTTAGCTGAGAGCTAGTGTGTGTTAGCTGAGAGCTAGTGTGTGTTAGCTGAGAGCTAGTGAGTGTTAGCTGTGTTAGCCGAGAGCTAGTGAGTGTGTTAGCTGTGTTTGCTGAGAGCTACTGTGTGTTAGCTGTGTTAGCTAAGAGCTAGTGAGTGTTAGCTGTGTTAGCTGAGAGCTACTGTGTGTTAGCTGTGTTAGCTGAGAGCTACTGTGTGTTAGCTGTGTTAGCTGAGAGCTAGTGAGTGTTAGCTGAGTTATCTGAGAGCTAGTGAGTGTTAGCTGTGTTAGCTGAGAGCAAGTGTGTGTTAGCTGTGTTAGCTGAGAGCTAGTGAGTGTTAGCTGTGTTAGCTGAGAGCTACTGTGTGTTAGCTGTGTTAGCTGAGAGCTACTGTGTGTTAGCTGTGTTAGCTGAGAGCTAGTGAGTGTTAGCTGAGTTATCTGAGAGCTAGTGGGTGTTAGCTGACAGCTAGTGAGTGTTAGCTGTGTTAGCTGAGAGCAATAGCTCCTGGTGTCAAAGTACGCGGCTTGTAGCGTAGGTGGAGAACGCTCTGTGATTCTGATGATGTCTCTGTTGTCATTATGTAGTCTCTGTGAGGGTGCATCCCGACTATGTTGTCCAGAGTAAATATTATATGTAAGCCATCTCTCCCCCCCCCCCCCCTCCCTCCCTCCCTCCCTCCCTCCCTCCCTCCCTCCCTCCCTCCCTCCCTCCCTCCCTCTCTCTCTCTCTCTCTCTCTCTCTCTCTCACTCACACACACACACACAGAGGGGGGCCTCACGGCTGAGTTGACAGCGCTCGAGGATCGTAGTCCTAATGGCCCGGGTTCGATTCCCGGCGGATGGGGGAACCAAATCGACAGAGTTTCTTTCCCTCTGTTCATCTAGCAGTAAAGAGGTACCTGGGAGTTAGACAGCAGCTACGGGCTGCTTCCTGTGTGTATGTGTGTATGTGTGTGTGTGTGTGTGTGTGTGTGTGTGTGTGTGTGTGTGTGTGTGTGTGTGTGTGTGTGTGTGTATGTGTGTGTGTACTCACCTAGTTGTGTTTGCGGGGGTTGAGCTCTGGCTCCTTGGTCCCGCCTCTCAACCGTCAATCAACAGGTAAATTGACACACACACACACACACACAACAGTGAGTGTGTGTGTGTGTGTGTGTGTGTGTGTGTGTGTGTGGAGAGCGGGGGTAGAGATGAGGGATGCGAGCGCGTAATATTTTGAGCAATATCAAAAGTTGAGGAGCGCAACTCATTCTACAAATGTGAAATGGCGCACAATATAGCGACATTCGTGTCATCAAGGAGATGCCAGGTTCAGGGAGTGGAAGGGAAGGTGGAAAGGGGAAAAGGGAGGGGGGGGAAAGGGAGAGGGGGAAAAGGGAGGAAGGGAAGGGAATTATCAGGGGGGGAAAGCGCCAGGCCATTACGACTATATAGCACTGGGAAGGGGTCAGGATAAGGATTTGGGATGGGATGGGGTGAAAGGAATGGTGCTCCAACCACTTGGACGGTCGGGGATTGAACGCCGACCTGCATGAAGCGAGACCGTCGCTCTACCGTCCATCCCAAGTGGTGCAAGAGTGCAAGAGCCCTCAGGAACCTAGTACTTGGGTAAGTGCAGACTAAGGGAGGCTAAGGGAGGCTAGGTAGAGGAGTCTAAGGGGCCAAACAGAGTTAAGGGGCAACAGAGTTAAGGGGCTGACCTCTGGTTAACCTGAGACCTGTTTCGAGAATTGTTCTATACTGCAGTTTGGCTTAAGTTCAGGCTCTTCACGTTAAGACTTGCTAACTAAGACTGTTGTTAACAGCGGTCCGCAGGCACACAGCTTTCACAACCCGGCTGACGAGTGGAGGGTGAGGCACTCCAGGGTGAGGCACTCCAGGGTGAGGCACTCCAGGGTGAGGCACTCCAGGTTGAGGCACTCCAGGTTGAGGCACTCCAGGTTGAGGCACTCCAGCTTGAGGCACTCCAGCTTGAGGCACTCCAGCTTGAGGCACTCCAGCTTGAGGCACTCCAGCTTGAGGCACTCCAGCTTGAGGCACTCCAGCTTGAGGCACTCCAGCTTGAGGCACTCCAGCTTGAGGCACTCCAGCTTGAGGCACTCCAGCTTGAGGCACTCCAGCTTGAGGCACTCCAGCTTGAGGCACTCAACGTTGAGGCACTCAACGTTGAGGCACTCCAGGTTGAGGCACTCCAGGTTGAGGCACTCCAAGGGTAGGCACTCCAAGGGTAGGCACTCCAAGGGTAGGCACTCCAAGGGTAGGCACTCCAAGGGTAGGCACTCCAAGGGTAGGCACTCCAGGTTGAGGCACTCCAAGGGTAGGCACTCCAAGGGTAGGCACTCCAAGGGTAGGCACTCCAAGGGTAGGCACTCAAGGTTGAGGCACTCCAGGGACTGTGTAGCAATTTGGGTCGAGTCTTTGCCTTTGCTTGCGATGTCATTTTCGTATTGTCTTTCTGCCTCTCTTCTCATCCTGACATATTCATTCCTGGCACTCTGGTATCTTTCTCTGCTCTCCAGTGTCCTGTTATTCCTATAGCTTCTCCATGCCCTTTTACTTTGCTGCTTAGCTAGTAGATGGTAGAGCGACGGTCTCGCTTCATGCAGGTCGGCGTTCAATCCCCGACCGTCCAAGTGGTTGGGCACCATTTCTTCTCTCCTCCGTCCCATCCCAAATCCTTATCCTGACTCCCTTCCCAGTGACACAGTCATAATGGCTAGTTGCTTTCTTTTTTTTATAAAAATTAGATAGCCTACATCTCTGATTATCTTCGTTTCATTGTTTTCCTTTTGGACCGGGACAAACTTGTTCGCTGCTTCCTTGCACTTCTGCGTGAAGAAGTCCATCGTGACTTGGGCCGTCTTTCCTCTGAGCTCTGTTTCCCATGTTATATCTGTTAGGAATTTCCTTATCTCCTCATAGTTTCCCTTTCGGAAAGCCAGTTTTTTGTTTTCAGTACCCCTCCTCGAGTTCAATAACCCTTCCTCAACCAGATACTCAAACGTCAGTACACTGTGGTCGCTCATTCCTACTGGGGCCTCATAGCCGATTTTCCTTATGTCGGAGTCGTTCAGAGTGAAGACTAGGTCGAGTCTCGCTGGTTCATCGTTTCCTCTCATCCTTGTGGGTTCCCTGACATGTTGGCTTAAAAAGTTTCTTGTCGCCACCTCCATTAGTTTGTGTGTGTGTGTGTGTGTGTGTGTGTGTGTGTGTGTGTGTGTGTGTGTGTGTGTGTGTGTGTGTGTGTGTGTGTGTTCACCTAGCTGTGTTTGCGGGGGTTGAGCTTTGCTCTTTCGGCCCGCCTCTCAACTGTCAATCAACTGTTTACTACTTTTTTTTGTTTTCCCTACACCACACACACACACACACACACACCAGGAAGCAGCCCGTGACAGCTGACTAACTCCCAGGTACCTATTTACTGCTAGGTAACAGGGGCATTCAGGGTGAAAGAAACTTTGCCCATTTGTTTCTGCCTCGTGCGGGAATCGAACCCGCGCCACAGAATTACGAGTCCTGCGCGCTATCCACCAGGCTACGAGGCCCCTGTGTGTGTGTGTGTGTGTGTGTGTGTGTGTCCACTTGGATTGGACCTTACTTTCACTATTAGCCCTCAGTACGGCTGCCAGTGTCTCCCAACACTACAATACACACATTAGTAAAGTAACAGACAATTATGAAAACGGAAACCTCATCTATATGAATAAAAATTGCTCGTTTGTTAAAAATCGCTAAACTTCGTAAGTTTTTCACCGATTGCTTTGAAATATTGACACAACGTTCCATTCGCATACGATCGTGTTTTTATATACCTACTATATAGATGTCATGCCTGTGACAGGTAAAAACATGTTTTGTTTTTTTAAACTGTGTTTTTCATGAGAGTTTCCATGAGTGGGGAAATGTCTGAAACCTCGTTACCGATTGCTTGGAAATTTTGACACAACGTTCCATTCGCATACGATCGTGTTTTTATATACCTACTATATACATGCCACGCCTGTGACAGGTAAAAACATGCTTTTGTTTTTAAACTGTGTTTTTCATGAGAGTTTCCATGAGTGGGGAAATGTCTGAAACCTCGTTACCGATTGCTTGGAAATTTTGACAAAACGTTTCATTGGAATATGCGTGTGTTTTTATATACCTACTATATACATGCCACATCTTTAACAGCTAAAAACTAGTTTTTTTGGAAAAATAGGGCCATCTGTTGCACTAAGAGCAACACACGCTATATTAAATATGTTACGATTCCATTTCAATGTTTCCGATTGCAACGATAAATCAAATTTTCATAGATTTCGATTTATTTTCATTTTGATTTAATTATTTTGTGTGACATTGCGTTGGAATTGAGCTGTGTTGTTTACCATACCGTTCATTTCGTGAGTATAGTTTATTTGTTATTTTTTTTTCGTTTTTTAACTGTTCTTGTTTTTTTCAGTGATGAGAACATCAGATCATTTGATGTTCCCATTTTTCTGATGGGAACATATCAGATCATTTGGGAACGCATTGAACGAGGGAACGGGGGAGTGGGGGATGGCTGGGAGGACAAGGGGACAGGGGAGGGGGGGGGGGCAGGGGAGGGTTACTCAGCAACGCACATCCTTTACTAAGCCACAGCAAAGCGTGGCCGGGTACAGCTAGTACAAAATAATTATCATCAAATAAGAACAAAAAAACTGTAAACAATTATGCAAAACAAAAGCAACTAAACCCAAAATACCTACAAACATTACGCATTTTATATCAACATTCATATTATACAAATTTTAGTTTAATTTATTCCACTAAAACTCACAAGTAAAAAATTTTTTTTTTACTATTAAGCATTTTCTCAAGGCTGTGTTTATAAGGGCTTCCTGATCCATCTCCCAGAGCGGCCCGAGTAATCCATCATCTTAAGGGGCATTAATCACTCACAAATTTACAAGTGGGAGTGTTTACATAAATATTGGAACGGTGAAATTTACAGGTGCGAGTGAATGCAACTCACCTGGATTGTCAAGGTATATATTTGGTCGATTTGTGAATGTCGTGTATTGGAGTATGAGGAAATTGGTATGACAGGGAGGGGAAGGGGGGATTAGGGAGATAGAGGGAGAGGAAACTTCTTGAGGTTATCTTGAGATGATTTCGGGGCTTTTTAGTGTCCCCGCGGCCCGGTCCTCGACCAGGCCTCCACCCCCAGGAAGCAGCAGCCCGTGACAGCTGACTAACACCCAGGTACCTATTTTATTGCAAGGTAACAGGGGCATAGGGTGAAAGAAATTCTGCCCATTGTTTCTCGCCGGCGCCCGGGATCGACCCCGGGATCACAGGATCACAAGTCCAGCGTGCTGTCCGCTCGGCCGACCGGCTCCCACGAAAAATCATAAACTACAGATTTCGCCATCAGCATTACCACCACTACCACTACCACCACCACCACCACCACTGTTGCACCACTACTACCACCACTACCACCCTCCGACCATCGGTCAGCCTAGCTACAGGCTTGACTCAGTACCGCAATAAGGCCACAAATGAAAACAAATGTCTATTGCCAAAGTTTTGGGACAAAGTCTGGCTCCCTGGTGTAATTCTGCCTGGCCATTGATAAGGACCCTCACTCGAACCCCCACGCCATATTCACTTATTTCCATTTATGTGATTCCATAACTGTGGTGTGTGGAACAGCTGGTCCAAAGGGGGGTGTTGTGGGGAGGTATGGGGGGTTAGGGGTGTTGTGGGGAGGTATGGGGGTTGAGGGGTGTTGTGGGGAGGTATGGGGGGTTAGGGAGTGTGTGGGGAGGTATGGGGGGTTAGGGAGTGTGTGGGGAGGTATGGGGGGTTAGGGAGTGTGTGGGGAGGTATGGGGGGTTAGGGAGTGTGTGGGGAGGTATGGGGGGTTAGGGAGTGTATGGGGAGGTATGGGGGGTTAGGGGGGTGTTGTGGGGAGGTATGGAGGGTTGGGGGGTGTTGTGGGGAGGTATGGGGGGTTAGGGAGTGTGTGGGGAGGTATGGGGGGTTAGGGAGTGTGTGGGGAGGTATGGGGGGTTAGGGAGTGTGTGGGGAGGTATGGGGAAGAGGAGAGACGTGAATTATATCTCCTTCGAATCGTTTTACCTTATTATATGCTGAGTTTAACAGTACTCACGTACGCACGTACGCACGTACGCACGTACGCACGCAAGCACGCTTTTGCTAGAGTTGGATGTGACAAAGGCTATAGGCCCAGATGGAATCTCCCCTTTGATACTAAAGGAAGGAGCTGAAGCACTGTGCCTGCCACTCTCCATAGTGTATAACAAATCACTGGCAACAGGGGAACTGCTAAAAATTTGGAAGACGGCTAATGTAGTCCCGATATATGAGAAAGGGGATAGACAGGAGGCATTAAACTAAAGGCCAGTGTCCCTAACTAGCATACCATGCAAGCTGATGGAGATTGTGCGAAAAAAGGTAGTGGAACATCTGGAGAGAAAGAACTTTGTAACACAGCATCAACATGGATTCAGGGATGGCAAGTCCTGCCTCACAGGATTAATTGAATTCTACGACCAGGCAACAAAAATGAGGCAATAAAGAGAGGGATGGGCAGACTGCATATTTTTGGATTGCCAGAAAGCCTTTGACACAGTACCACACAAGAGGCTAGTGAAAAAGCTGGAGATGCAGGCAGGATTGAAAGGGAAGGTACTCCATTGGACAAGGGAGTACCTAAGTAACAGAAGACAGCGAGTCACTGTGAGAGTGGAGGTCACAGATTGGCGAGACGTCACCAGTGGAGTCCCACAGGGCTCAGTCCTTGGACCTACACTGTTTCTGATATATGTAACTGATCTCCCAGAGGGTATAACCTCGTTCCTCTCATTGTTTGCTGATGATACAAAAATTACGAGGAGGATTAAAACAAAAGATAGTATGAGGTTACAAGATGACCTAGACAGAGTGAATGGTCTAGGAATGCTACTAAAGTTCAACCCGAGTAAACATAACGTAATGAAACTAGGCGGTGGAAACAGGAGGTCAGACACAGGATACCGAATGGGAGATGAAGTATTTCATGAAACGGACAGAGAGAAAGATCTAGGAGTTGATATCACACCAAACCTGTCTCCTGAAGCCCACATAAAAAGAATTACATCTGCGACATACGCGAGGCTGGTTAACATCAGAACAGCCTTCAGGAACCTGTGTAAGGAATCATTCAGAACCTTGTACACCACATATGTAAGACCAATCCTGGAGTATGCAGCCCCAGCATGGAGCCCGTACCTTGTCAAGCACAAGACGAAGCTGGAAAAAGTCCATAGGTATGCCAGTAGGCTAGTCCCAGAACTAAGAGGCATGAGTTACGAGGAAAAGCTGCGGGAAATGCACCTTACGACACTGGAAGACAGAAGAGTAAGGGGAGACATGATCATTACCTACAAAATTCTCAGAGGAATTGACAGGGTAGATAAAGATTAACAGTTTAACACGGGTGGTACGCGAAAAAGGGGACACAGGTGGAGACTGAGTACCCAAATGAGCCACAGGGACGTTAGAAAGAACTTTGTCAGTGTCAGAGTAGTTAACAGGTGGAATGCATTAGGCAGTGATGTCGTAGAGGCTGACTCCATACACAGTTTCAAATGTAGATATGATAGAGCCCAGTAGATACTGGAATCTGTACACCAATTGATTGACAGTTGAGAGGAGGGACCAAGGAGCTAGAGATCAACCCCCGTAATTACAACTAGGTGAGTACACACACACACACACACACACACACACACACACAGGATACAGAATAGGAGATGACACACCACACACACACACACACACACAGATCTAGGAGTTGATATCACACCAAACCTGTCTCCTGAAGCCCACATAAAGAGAATAACGTCTGCGGCATATGCGAGGCTGGCTAACATCAGAACGGCGTTCAGGAACCTGTGTAAGGAATCATTCAGAATCTTGTACACCACATATGTAAGACCAATCCTGGAGTATGCGGCCCCAGCATGGAGCCCGTACCTTGTCAAGCACAAGACGAAGCTGGAAAAAGTCCAAAGGTATGCTACTAGACTAGTCCCAGAACTAAGAGGCATGAGTTATGAGGAAAGGCTGCGGGAAATGCACCTCACGACACTGGAAGACAGAAGAGTAAGGGGGGACATGATCACAACCTACAAAATCCTCAGGGGAATCGACCGGGTAAACAAGGATGAACTATTCAACACTGGTGGGACGCGAACAAGGGGACACAGGTGGAAGCTGAGTACCCAAATGAGCACACAGAGACGTTAGAAAGAACTTTTTCAGTGTCAGAGTAGTTAGTAAATGGAATGCATTAGGAAGTGATGTGGTGGAGGCTGACTCCATACACAATTTAAATGTAGATATGATAGAGCCCAATAGGCTCAGGAATCTGTACACCAGTTGATTGACGGTTGAGAGGCGGGACCAAAGAGCCAGAGCTCAACCCCCGCAAGCACAATTAGGTGAGTACAATTAGGTGAGTACACACACACACACACACACAAAACCCTGAAGTTAATACACACAAACTGCACACAGAAATGAGAGCAAAAGTACACCCCAATATTAATCCCAGATACTGAAACAATTAAAAAAGTAAAAAGTAATAAGTTTACTTTTTCATTAACTTAAAACGATATTTGATCACCTGATCACCACTTAAAATACTCAGTTTAAAGAATTATTTCCACTCTTCACTTAAAGTTGTGAAAACATTTAAGTTCGCGTTGAAGAAGGGTAGGGAACTCTGAGAAGAAAGCGCAAAGTCATTAGGACTATATAGCACTGGGAAGGAGTCAGGATAAGGATTTGGGATGGGACGGGGGGAAGGAATAGTGCCCAACCACTTGGACGGTCGGGGATTGAACGCCGACCTGCATGTAGCGAGACCGCCGCTCTACCATCCAGCCCAAGTGGAGACGAGACCTTAATTATCAAACTGTGGCAAGGTGCCCGAACTTGACCTTATTTAGCTAAAATATTAACAAAGATATGCAACAAAAAAAAAGAGAGCAAGTTAGAACCTATAAAGGTGGGTTGTGAGGAAGCTGTTGGAGTCCAAAGACGGGTGTTCGATCCCAATCAACAGCCTCTACATTTTTCTGAAGGATTACAAACTTTGAAGAAACATAAGTCATGCATTAAACAAACACACGTTACCATATAGAAACAAGGAGACATGCACAAGGAAAACTGCTATCTTGAGGTTATCTGGAGATGATTTCGGGGCTTTTTAGTGTCCCCGCGGCCCGGTCCTCGACCAGGCCTCCACCCCTAGGAAGCAGCCCGTGACAGCTGACTAACACCCAGGTACCTATTTTACTGCTAGGTAACAGGGGCATAGGGGTGAAAGAAACTCTGCCCATTGTTTCTCGCCGGCGCCTGGGATCGAACCCAGGACCACAGAATCACAAGTCCAGCGACCGGCTCCCACGTAAAATCATAAACTACAGATTTCGCCATCAGCATCACCACCACTATCACTACCACTACCACCATCACTACCACCATCACCACCACCACCATCACCATCACCACCACCACCATCACCACCACCACCACCACCATCACCACCACCACCACCACCATCACCACCACCACCACCACCACCACCACCACCATCACCACCACCACTACCACCACCACCACCACTACCACCACCACCACCACTACCACCACCACTCGCTGTCAGAACCACTACCACAATTCACTCTCAGCGGGGAAAAAAAAAACCTAATCCCAAACCATTCTCTATCTCGGCCTCTTACTGGTTCGCATCACGTGAACCACCACAACCACCACAACTACCACCAGCACCAACTACCAACACAGCCGCAATTCCCGACCGCTATCAACCACCCCCGAACGATGGTAACGGACACCATCATCTCACACCATCACATCTTACTCATGTCTCTCATAACTAAAGTACACAAGGGCGGTATTTCTGTGTATTTGCCCTCTCTCTCTCTCTCTCCCAACCAAGTTATCTTTTTAGATGGTTATAAGAGAAGATAGCAGGCGTGTGTATAGGGGAGACCCACGCCTTCTTAGATGGTTATAAGAGAAGATAGCAGGCGTGTGTATAGGGGAGACCCACGCCTTCTTAGATGGTTATAAATGAGGATAGCGAAGCGTGTGTAAGGTTTAAAAGGTATATAACGCCTCCTTAATATTTACAAGAGAGGATAGCGAGTGTAGAAGAGATAATCAAATCATCTTAACGCTCTGGGACTTAAAGCCTCAACCCGAAGGCTTCAGAAGCTTTTGGGCATTGCTTTACATAGGCCTACGTGTAGAGGAGCATAGATCTACATGTATACAGTAGATCTACGTGCATAAAAGCACAAGGAGATCCTATAAGAGCCTCATTTAGGAGGCCTATAGGAGCCTCCTTTAGGAGTCCTCCTATAGGAGGCCTATAGGACCTCCTATAGGCCTCCTCCTAATGAATATACCAAAAGAATGTTGTTGTTGTTGTTGTTGCTTCAGATTTAGCTGCTCAGAACGAAGTGTCCATGTAGCACGGGCTATGGTGATCCCGTAATACCAAGAGAATATAACCCTTGTAAATATACCAATTCATGCACTATCACCCCCACCCTCTCTCCCCCAACAGAGAATTCAGATGCATCAATTATTCACATCAATAAATACCACAGTTTCGCTAATCCGGCTGACCTTCCTAACCAGAATATCTTGTTTACCGAATCAGAGAACCAACGGCACTCATAAACGGCATATCAAACGGCCGTTGAATGAGTAACAAGAACGGTGGAGAAATAAGAACTCACGGCCTCATGGGTAAGAAAATGGGTCAAGATTATGAGGCCAATCTCCGTAGGTGATCATTGCCGACTACAACACGGCGCATTGAAAAGTTTATTACGGCTATTATCGCTTTAATGCAGGCGAGGAGTCACAATAACGTGGCTGAAGTATGTTGACCAGACCACACACTAGAAGGTGAAGGGACGACGACGACGACGTTTCGATCCGTCCTGGACCATTCTCAAGTCGATTGTGCATTGATACTACTCTCTTATGATATTTCCCATCACCTGGCGTGATATGCAAGGACGCGGGCATGATTATTGTCTCCTCGGTGTTTTCGATTTTGTGTATTGGCACTATATTGCCCGTCTTCCGATTCCCTGGCAGTTCACCCCATTTCCAGGGACGTGATATACCAACATAAGTGGCCAGCACAGTGCCTCCGCTAGTTCTCTTAGTATTACGGGAGATATCTTATTTGGGTCCACAGCCTAGTGTCACTACGTCGAAATATGTACGCAATACCTCACAGATGTTGACCTTCTGCTCGCTTCTCTGAACTGGATATTCCCGAGTCATCCTTACGTACGTTTTTTTTTAATATTTAAATCACTTAGTTGGAGAAAATGTTACAAGGAACACAATATATTCATCGTTTGTACCCAGGCGGGTCCTATGATTGATGAGGTCTTGAGTGCCTCGGGCTGGGTGTATGGGGGGGGGGGGGGTGTTGATGTGTATGGGGGGTAGGGGGGAGGGGTGATTGATTAGGGTGGAGGGTTTAGGAAGATGTCAAACAGGTTAGCGGTCAATGGTCTAGATGTTATTGGTGGGTGATTAACCAAGAGAACTATTCAGGGACTTCTCCAGGAGTAATTAAACATTACACACACACACACACACACACACACACACACACACATATAGGGGTCTCGTAGCCTGGTGGATAGCGCGCAGGACTCGTAATTCTGTGGCGTGGGTTCGATTCCCGCACCAGGCAGAAACAAATGGGCAAAGTTTCTTTCACCCTGAATGCCCCCGTTACCTAGCAGTAAATAGGTACCAGGGAGTTAGTCAGCTGTCACGGGCTGCTTTCTGGTGTGTGTGTATGGTGTGGGGAAAAATAGTAGTTAGTAAACAGTTGATTGACAGTTGAGAGGCGGGCCGAAAGAGCAAAGCTCAACCCCCGCAAACACAACTAGGTGAATACACATACGTATGTGGAGCCGGTGGCCGAGCAGACAGCACGCTGAACACGTGATCCTTACCTAGTTGTGCTTGCGGGAGTTGAGCTCTGGCTCTTTCGTCCCGCCTCTCAACTGTCAATCAACTGGTGTACAGGTTCCTGAGCCTACTAGGCTCTATCATATCTACACTTGAAACTGTGTATGGAGTCAGCCTCCACCACATCACTGCCTAATGCATTCCACTTGTTAACTACTCACTAAGCGAGCTGCAAACTCCTAATGGTCATCGCTGCTCTAGAAATGAGTCATTTAATGGGTGATATATTTATTAGTATAACAATATACATGCAACTTTCGCCTGCTATTTGTCATTCACGCTATTTTTTGTCACCTGACTCACCCCTCACGCTATTTTTTGTCACCTAACTCACCCCTCACGCTATTTTTTGTCAACCTTACTCACCCCTCACGCTATTTTTTGTCACCTCACTCACCCCTCACGCTATTTTTTGTCACCTTACTCACCCCTCACGCTATTTTTTGTCACCTCACTCACCCCTCACGCTATTTTTTGCCACCTTACTCACCCCTCACGCTATTTTTTGTCACCTCACTCACCCCTCACGCTATTTTTGTCACCTAACTCACCCCCCTCACGCTATTTTTTGTCACCTAACTCACCCCTCACGCTATTTTTTTGTCACCTAACTCACCCCTCACGCTATTTTTTTGTCACGTTACTCACCCCTCACGCTATTTTTTGTCACGTTACTCACCCCTCACGCTATTTTTTGTCACCTAACTCACCCCTCACGCTATTTTTTGTCACGTTACTCACGCTATTTTTTGTCACGTTACTCACCCCTCACGCTATTTTTCTCAACCTTACTCACCCCTCACGCTATTTTTGTCACCTAAATCCTCCCTTCTCGTTCTTCATGCTAGGTTATATCCCTTTCCAGTCCCCTCACGCTATGGTACTTCCCTCCCTTCCTCTCCCTTCTCACTTAATGTTAATTTACCCCTTCTCGAGTCGCTGACGATCTGTTCCACTGTCACGCTTCAAGGCCTATTCCCCTCCCACCCCTCATGTTGTCTTCCCCCCCCTTCCACCCGTCACACTGTTGTGTCCCCCTTTCACACTGTGCTCCCCTTCCTTCGACCTATTCCCCTTGTTTCTGCTCCCTATTTCACTCGTTATTCTTTCGTCTCCTTTCCATATCTCCGTCCCATCTGCTATCCACATCGTTAGTCCCAAGTAATCCATACCTCTTCCATCCACCCTCTAACCTCCCCCCCCCCCCCCCAACCCATTATCCATCTATCCAACCCTTTCCCATCTTCAAACCTCCTCACCTTCCCCTCATTCCCTCACCTTCCTATCCCCTACCATACAAGCCAATCAAAGACACCAAACTCCCACATATCGTGTCAGCAAGGCGGACAGTTCGCCTGTTTTCCTATCTCACACTTTATTTCCTATTTGTAACGCTTTGTTTGAAGATTCGCTGATAACAGAAGACGTTGAGAAGGTCTTCTCATCGTAACAGAAGTCTATGATGAGAAGTTCCACCCCTACAGCTTGGGGCCCAAGAGCTTAGATCTTACTCGAAGGTATAAAGCCACCACAATACAAAAGTTAAAAAATGAAGTTAAAGCCGCAGATCATAAAACAATTAAAATAACTACAATTAGGAACAATCACATACAAAACATGTATGTGAGCATCCAACCCGTTCTCGCACTTTCTTTTAGTCAATATTGACTTATTAAATAAGTGCATATGTGACATACTAATTTATTGTGAATATTTTAGTTTACCTTGAAAAGCTTCATAGAAAACACCGACCTTACCTAACCTTCTTAGTATGTTAAGATAAGCATCTTATTGCTTCGTAATTACAATTATTACTTAATCTATTATAGGTATAGGTTAAGTAATAATTGTAATTACGAAGCAATAAGATGTTTATCTTCAACATACTAAGAAGGTTAGGTAAGGTCGGTGTTTTCTATGAAGCTTTTCAAGGTAAACTAAAATATTCACAATAAATTAGTATGTCACATATGCACTTATTTAATAAGTCAATATTGACTATACGAAAGTGCGAGAACGGGTTGTGCAATATCAGTGTCGACTAGGCAGACAACCCGGTTGTTATTATTAATATCAGAGGTTCTTAATGAAACTGTAAGCTCAGAGCCATTACCCTGTCTCAGCTGAGCTTATCTAATAGTTTCTGCTAGGAATAATCTATACTGAATGCTAAGGTATAATCATGTTAGTTACTGGATAAAGGAGCCAATTGTCTAGTGGAGTCCCTGGAAATGTGTATGTTTATCTCTCAGAATGTTTGGTAATATGTTTATTGTTTGTGATGTGTGTATATGTATGTATTAACACGATGTACTGAACGGGGTGAGAATAGCTTGAGCTACCTCATCCCTTTGTGTGTATTTTACCTCAATAAACTTATTTCAATTTCAATAGTGGAGCCTTTATATGATTAGTTGAATGAATGAGAGTTGGTGGAGCGATGTTCTTGAGAAAGGAACAGTCCTTGGCTGAGCGCCTTGTGTTGTAATTGCCACCTCACACTATCCACCAAATTGGGCCAGGGAGGAAATCTTGAGAACATTGGTCTTATATGTAAGGCCACGAACATCATAATGGTGTTGAAGACTCTGATTTACTGACCAGTCCATAGAGAACAGGTTAAGACTAAAGAGAAGACGTCTTTCACGGTTCTCGATCTTATCTACACTTCCCCTAAGTGATGGAGGCAGGCAATCAAGGAGAGCGGGGCAGTCTCACGATAGGAGTGAATTTGTGTTCATATTTCTAAGGTTTTGCAACCGCTGCTGTCTCAAGAAGGTATGAGATGGGTCTTAGGGCTGAAACTTCCTTGGCCGCCTTGCTTGCTGGGTTCATTGCTCAATGAAGAGGCAAAGTTCGTGTCTAAGATGTCAACTTTATCCCACAGCCGGCTTGTTCCACCTCTCTCTCTCTCTCTCTCTCTCTCTCTCTCTCTCTCTCTCTCTCTCTCATCTCTCTCTCTCTCTCTCTCTCTCTCTCTCTCTCTCTCTCTCTCTCTTGACAGATTAACTTAAACAAAAAATCCGGCAAAAAAATTATGTAACATGGACCCCAAGTTTTGCCTACCCCCATACCCACACACGCCCACTGTTTACCCATACCCACACACACACACACCCCACTGTTTACCCATACCCACACACACACGACTCTACCGTTTACCCATACACACACACACACACCCCACTGTTTACCCATACCCACACACACACACACCCCACCGTTTACCCATACCCACACACGACTCTACCGTTTACCCATACCCACACACACACACCCCCACCCTTTACCCATACCCACATTTAGTTCCATCCATACCTCTCCTATGTTCCAGTCACAACATATACCCCTCTGCCTCTTCCTCTTTTCCCTTCTTTCAAAAATTCTCCTAAAAATTTTCTCTTTCCTGGTCCCTTCCCCTTTCCCTGCCCCTTCCCTGCCCTCCCTTTCCCTGCCCTCCCTTTCCCTGCCCCCTTCCCTGCACCCTCCGCCTCTCCCTTTAGGTAAGGTTTATTTGAGGTTTATTTTTTATTGCGCTCAACTAATTGTTGATATCGTTAGGGTTAGCATTTTGAGTAGGCGAGAGGGAAGGGGGTGTAGGCAAGAATGGCCGAGGGATGGAATAAGAGAAGGGAACAGAGAGGGTATAAGAGAATAACTGAATAATGGAAGAAATGGAATACGGAACAAGAGAGGTTAGAACAACAATGCTCTTGAAACTTCTCCCTATTTCTCATTTTTATCTTCACTTGAGACGTCTAAACATTTCCTCTAACAAGTTAATTTTATAGTTTTGTTACGACCTGACGCTGAGAGATGCGTTTCACTGATACGTGTTAACATTTTCAAAGGTAAGGGCGGAGTGTATACAAGTTAGGTTGAGGAAATGAATATATGAGCTAGATGGATGAGGTTAATAATTACACTAGACAGTTTTCTGTCTAGTGTAAACTCCCCGGCAGTTTTCATCTGTGTGTCCTCTCTCTCTCTCTCTCTCTCTCTCTCTCTCTCTCTCTCTCTCTCTCTCTCTCTCTCTCTCTCTCTCTCTCTCTCTCTCAAACACACACACACACAGGTAGAGACTAAAGAACGACCTGGACAGGCTGTAAGAATGGTCTAGAAAATGGCTAACAAAGTTCAACTCAGGAAAGTGCAAAGTAATAAAATTTGGTGAAGGGAGCAGGAGGCTGAACACAAGGTACCATCTGGGAGGTGAAATCCTGCAAGAGTCAACCAGAGATAAAGATCTGGGAGTTGATATCACACCAAACCTGTCCTCAGAGGCCCACATCAAA